CTAACGAATAGTGGGATTAACCGTCACATTATAACGCCCCCACGGCTGAAAGGGCGAGCATGTTTGGTGGGACGGGGATTCGAACCCACGACCCGAAGATTGCAAGTCGAGTGCCTTAACCACCTGGCCATGCCGGGCCTATCTCGAGTATAAAGGTCGTTTTTTTATTCAATTGTGTAAATCCCTCCAGTATGCACCACAAATTTTGAAAGACAATTTTTTGTGTACTTAAATTATTAAACCAATTGCTTCATAATATTTAAACGGTTCACTATTTAAGAGTATCTCAAGACAGAAAATTACCTACATTTAATCAGTAGTATATCTCGTTTATTTTAACATATTGTGATAAAACTTTTCAAGTCTCTTTCTGTGTTTTTTTGTTGTTGTTTTTCTAGCATAATTATACAATTATGTACTATACACGTACTATACACGGTTAAAATGTGCTTATTTAGTAAATCAAGAAACGGAACTTCGGAGAAGTAATTCTAACCTATACACGTAACTTAAGAAAATTTGACCACTACGTGATTAGGGAGTTTGTTTTTGTAATATTGTTATGATAATCGTGATCACTATGTACTATATTAAAATGTTTAAATTTGGCTTTAGCACCTGAAAGTTGTTGTCTTCTTAATGTAAAGCTACATAAAGAGCTATCTGCACTTTTTCCTCATCGAAGACTCGAACCCCTAATTTTAGCATTCTTAAACCAAAGGCTGACCCATTGAGGGATGCTTTCTGGATGTATTCCGAGATTTTTCTTATGATCTTTGAACTACAGGTAACGAGGTGACCAGGCTGGAGGTCAGAATAAAAACCCGAATTGATTCTAAGACGGAATATACAGATCAATGAGGGCACAAATGAAAGTAAATAAAATTTATGAAACCATCAAAGAATGTGAAGTATACAAAAAATAACCATTTCTAGCGGAAGAGAAGATAAATATTACCAAGGGTAGAAAACAAAAAAGTTGGCCCAAAATAATATCTACAAAGAACTGATTTTGCAGGGAAATGTGAAGTATACAAAAAAATAACCATTTCTAGCGGAAGAGAAGACAAATATTACCAAGGGTAGAAACAAAAAAGTTGGCCCAAAGTAATATCTACAAAGAACTGATTTTGCAGGGAAATAAGCGATAAATATACAATAACCAAAAAAGAAGATTGTACGATACAGGGCTAAGCATAGGAATAAAGCATGGATTACATATATATATATATATATAAGGCTAAGAAATGTCTTGATAAGACTCAAAATTAATTTAGTCGTTAATAATTAGATAATCGAAATGTTTTTTACATGAATAGTTGTGAAAGATAAAGCATAAAGAAAACGATAACATAAACACCATAAAAGGCAAAGCATGAAGAAAGCCAAATATTTTTTTTATTATGATCTTATTTAGAATTATAATCCGTTCCATAAAAACCTAGAAAGTAATCGAGCAGACAGCTACGCAGCTACAGCCATTATGAGTAACAATTTCCGCTAAAGGAGGAAGCTAGAAGTACAGTAGAAGTTGCATAATGTAAAGATTCAGGAAATATCGTAAGATTTCAAGTTTTTCAATTCGTCATACATCACTACTGCCATAAAACTGCAAACGCATTTTTATTCCTTAAATGACCGAAAAATATAAACGTCGTGCATGTAGGCAGGTGTCACAATCACATAAAATTGTATAATGTAAAATAGATAGTTTAATTACACTTCCTGCTATTTACGTAAAGTTCCAAATGTGTAGCAAACCTACCCTGTGTCGAGGGTTGCTTGGTGAAATGTCAGAGTTTTCTTTACAAAGTGATCGAGAGTACTGAATCCGTTTTTTGTTGTACGTATCATTTTCTTCGTTCTCACTGCTATCGTCTGGCTCTAAAATACCAAAATATTCAACAGGACATTCTGGCTTTTTCATATTTATTATTTCTTCCATCACTAGTTTGCCTAAGATGAAAAAAAAATCAAATCAGTTTTGGGTTACAAAGAAACATAAATGTACAGATCTTGTCTGCAACTACAATTACGCTGAATGACCCTTTTATTATGATTACCATCAAATATTAGTCGCATGGCTATAGGATAAAAGCGTCTTGAGAAGTATTGGCTCATGGATATCAACAAAGAAATATGGTTGCGAATGTCAAGTTAAAGCTCAACCCCAAAGATCCTTAACTTGTATAAAATATAGTTATTATGTTGACCAAAATTGATTACTGAAGTATTTGCCATGTTATGTTTTTGAATCAATCTAAAACTTAATAGGATGGTCGTCAGTTGTTACATTATTGTCTTGAAATATATCTTTTTTTTCCCACCAGGGTGTAAATTCAGCATTGTGAGGTGGACATAACCAACAACAACAACGTTTTGATATATTTTGTGTGTTCTTCACAGTAAGTCTTGATATTCAGACTATACGGAACATTTAAACAAGGTAAAGTAATTCATAACATATTTTTTACTGTACTGAGCTGAAACGTCGCGCAATCCATATCTTATTTACAGTTTGCGCTCTAAGCATCACTGAACCCCTGATTTTCAGTTTGTATTTGAAATAAAGAGTCTTCACTATTTGTCAGTGGTAATATACAGTTGCTGTAATCTTCTGCTCGTGGTATGGTCGGAGGAAGTCAAATTCTAACCATTGTTGAAGGAGTAAGGCAGTTAGATCCCAGTCTGATACCCGTTAAATGTTACAAGCCTGTTCATTCGTTTTCGTTTTCTGAGAGTCCATGGTTCGCGTGCCACTGTCGCAAAATCGCGCTCTGCACTTGAGGGCCATGTATGCATAAGAAACAAATCTAATTACTTGGATTACAATTGTGAGAACCAAATCCAATTACTGGGCTACAGTAGTGAGAACCACATCTAATTACTGGGCTACAGCAGTGAGAACCAAATCTAATTACTGGGCTACAGTAGTGAGAACCACATCTAATTACTGGGCTACAGCAGTGAGAACCAAATCCAATTACTGGACTACAGTAGTGAGAACCAAATCTAATTACTGGACTGCAGTAGTGAGAACCAAAACTAATTACTGGATTACAATAGTGAGAAACAAATTTAATTACTGGATTAGAATAGTGAGAAACAAATCTAATTACTGGATTACAATAGTGAGAACCAGATCTAATTACTGGGCTGCAGTAGTGAGAACCAAATATAATTACTGGGCTACAGTAGTGAGAAACAAATCTAATTACTGGATTACAATAGTGAGAACCAAATCTAATTACTGGATTAGAATAGTGAGAAACAAATCTAATTACTGGATTACAATAGTGAGAACCAAATCTAATTACTGGGCTGCAGTAGTGAGAACCAAATATAATTACTGGGCTACAGTAGTGAGAAACAAATCTAATTACTGGATTACAGTAGTGAGAACCAAATCTAATTACTGGATTACAGTAGTACAAGTACTGACGCCGAGCGTTGTTGACTAGCTGCCTTCCGTTTACTCTATCTTAGAACGGTTATTCGTAAAAAAAAAAAAGTTAAGAAAAGGCAAAATAATTGATATAAAGTCAACCATGTCTCCTCATTCTTATGAATATTCGTCATGTAACCTGAAATACAAATGATTAGCTTTTCAGTCTAGGCCGTAAATGAAGTACGTCGAGATTGCTGTATATTTTTATGTCATAGTATCTCACTTCAAGATGGAGTATGGTACTTCCAGATATAATGTTTTCCTGTTCAGATAAGAACAGTAATCACAATAGCTAGAGAAACGTCAGGAAATGTTATACAATAGCAAATCTGAATTTTCTGACTCTGGCGGATTTGAAGAAAAAAAAACCCACAATGATTAAACAAAGTAATTTTTATTAAGCACCAACACCAACAAACATCAACAGGCACGCAGGGACTAGAAAACGCTGCCCCCTCCCCCCCAAAAAAAACAGACCTGGCCAAATTTGAAGGCATCCCAAGAAGAGTGGAATTCTGAGTAAATTATCAATAAGATTGAGAGAGTATAACAACAATATACAAAATACGACGGACACATGGACGGATACAACTTCAAAGTATCGCCTGACTTACCAGGCCGTCCTTAATTTTGGAGTGATAGACAAAATGAAAGGTAGTTAGTCAACGCCACCAACTACCAATTCTTGGGCCACTCTTCTACCAACGAACAGCATGATTGACCATCACATTATAACGCCCTCTCGGCTGAAAGGACGAGAATGTTCGATGACGAGATTTGAACCTGCAGATTGCGAGTCGAGTGCCATAACCAACGGGGTCATGCCAGGTCCCTCTTTACAAAGATACAGAATTGCAATAATGCTACTGATAACAAAAACCTTTAACCACAATTAAACAATTAATATATTTGTAAGTTTGTCATTAAGCACAAAGCTACACAATAGGTTAGCTGTGCTGAGCCCACCACAGATATTGAAACCCGTTGTTTAGCGTTATAGGTCTTCAAATTTACCGCTGAACCATTTAGATGTGCATGTTTTTTTAAAGCAAAGCCAAATCGGGCTATCTGCCGTGTCCACCGAGGGGAATCGAACCCCTGATTTTACGTTGTAAATCCATAGACATACCGCTGTTCTACAGGGGGACGAGCCATTTGGGAGCTAAACAATTAATGCTGTCAACATTAATTTTCTCGAACACAATAACCAATAATACCCTGCATTAAATTAAAATATAACACAACGATAAAACATTTTAATATAGAATCAATAGTTCAAGATACAAGAAACGAGGCCTTTAATAAGCATCATCATCCGTGACTGTCAAATTCATAAAACATAATTTGATATAAGTTCGTATTAAAAAAAAACAATAATTGTACAAAATCGATCATTTTAAAAAAAGATAAAAAAACAAAAACGCTTCGGTATAAACTTTAACATAGTGTAATTCTTAATGAAAATAATAAAAAATTGTTCTCCTGTGGGACAGCGGTAGGTTTACGGACTTATAACACTAAAATCCGGGGTTTGATTCCCCGCGGTGTACACATCATATATTACAGTGTGGCTTTGCTCTAAAACAAACAAACAATAGTAAATTGTCCCCCGGTGGGACAGCGGTAGGTTTACGGACTAACAACACTAAAATCCGGGGTTTGATTCCCCGCGGTGTACACATCATATATTACAGTGTGGCTTTGCTCTAAAACAAACAAACAATAGTAAATTGTCCCCCGGTGGGACAGCGGTAGGTTTACGGACTAACAACACTAAAATCCGGGGTTTGATTCCCCGCGGTGTACACATCATATATTACAGTGTGGCTTTGCTCTAAAACAAATAAACAATAATAAATTAACAGAAATAAAACATCACTATACGTAAGAAAATACCCTTTAACAATGATGTATATGATATGACAATATATATATATATATATATGTGTGTGTGTGTGTAAAATTTAAATGTATAAATATGAGCCAATCAGTATAGCAAAACCACTTAAAGAATTCACATCTTACTATTGATAATGAAAGTAAAACGCCCCCCAGTGTCACAGCGGTATGTCTGCGGACTTATACCGCTAGAAATCGGGTTTCGATACCCGTGGTGGGCAGAGCACAGATAACCCATCGTATAGCTTTGTGCTTAGTAACAAACAAAATGAAAGTTTGTTTGTTTGTAATTAAGCACAAAGCTACACAATGGGCTATCTGTGCTCTGCCCACCACGGGTATCGAAACCCGGATTCTGGCGTTGTAAGTCCGCAGACATACCGCTGTGCCACTGGGGAGCCAAACCAGACATTATCAAGATCTCAACTATTTGAAGTTACTGATGACTAAAGATTATGTGTTATATGCACAAAACTGCAAGGGTGATATATATATATTTTTAAACTTATGTGATGAAGAATGATAAAAGGTTTTCTTTGAAAAAAACAAAGTAAAGAAGGGTAAAGTTTTTGGGATGAAAAATATTTGCATAAAATTTTAAGAATGATAATTTTGTATAATATATCTTATGACGAAAGGAAAAAGAAAATACCTAGCGCGTCGCACCCACGTGCGATGTCTTCGTAAGTGATCCCGTAGCCGAGGGCAAAGTCTCTGGTTCTCTACACTCCAGGTAAGACCGTGAGCAGCGTCATATGAAGCCAACTTATAGGAGAATCCTGCCATCAGAATATTCTTATCCCTAGGCTCTATGTCAACTGCAGTGTGCTAGAGAAAAATTTCCAGAGTTTTCGGTACTTTTTTGACATCAAACAAAATGTGATATTCTATGAGAGAAGGCGGGTGATCAGGGAGCGGAATTAATGTACACAAAACTTCTGCAAAGTTCGGACTACGATACGATAACCAAAAGAGTCAACCACGCTCAACCAAAAGTCAGGACTGATGTGTGATTAATTTGATTCTTACTGGTCAGACGATCAGCAAGAAGTGTTAAAGCCTGGTCACAATTACTAACTACTATCTACTCTAGTCATTCCTATAGGCTTCACCAGATGTTGCTAGGGTTACTCACTTGACCAGCATACAGCTGGCCAGTGTTGTCTTTGCTATCATGTTATCACAACTAGCTGGAACCCGCCCACATTCCTTTTTGCCACTATCTCTAGGAACGGAGCCCGGGTCCATTGGGTAAGAAAAGAGGTCAAGGTGTAAGCACTGGTTCCTACACAAAAAACTGAAACTGGCTAGCTACTATACAAGCACCAGCCTCAAATGTCTGACCACTGGTGTCCTTTAGCACAGAAATATCACATACACTAGACTCTTTTCAGATACAAGGTCAGTACAAACCAGAGTGACTTCAAAGCAACGCTACACAGGTGTCACCTTTTCCTTCCGGCCCTATACAAAGGACACCAGTGGTCAGACATTTGAGGTATGTTTCTTTGAAGTCACTCTGGCTTGTACTGACCTTGTATTTGAAAGGAGTCTAGTGTATGTGATATTTCTGTGCTATAGGGCCGGAAGGAAAAGGTGACACCTGTGT